AGGGTGGCACAAGGGTTGGCTGCCCCACATGTCCCAGGCCCAGGCTGATGCCATGCTGTTGTGGGATGGGGTTGCCCTGTTGCTCTTTGTGCCTGCCCTGACTGCCCTGCCCATGCCAGGCTGCCCGTGGAGGGCATGAGGAACATCCTGATCACCAGCGCTCTGCCCTACGTGAACAACGTGCCCCACCTTGGCAACATCATTGGCTGCGTCCTCAGTGCTGACACCTTTGCCAGGTGATGCTTAGCTGCAGGAAGGCTCCCTGGGGATCACCATAGGGGGCTGTAGTGCCCCCCAACACCTGCACTGGTGTCACAGGCCCCTGCCTGCACAGGTACTGCCGCCTGCGGAACTGGAACACGCTCTACTTGTGTGGCACGGACGAGTATGGCACCGCCACCGAGACCAAGGCAGTGGAAGAGGGGCTGACACCGCAGGAAATCTGCAACAAGTACCACGCCATCCACGCTGACATCTACCGCTGGTTTGGCATCTCTTTCGACCACTTCGGCCGCACCACCACACCGAGCCAGACCACGTGAGGGGCTCGCATGGGGCTGGGGGGAAGAGACCCCCATTGTGCTTGGCTGAGGGTGCTTTGTGCTCCTTGGCTGATGGGGGGCTGCTCCCCTCCTCTTTCTCTCTTCCTGTTCTCAGGATTGCCCAGGACATCTTCCAGCGCCTGCTGGCACGTGGGTTCCTGCTGCAGGACACGGTGGAGCAGCTGCGGTGCGAGGGCTGCCAGCGGTTCCTGGCCGACCGCTTCGTGGAGGGGACTTGCCCCTTCTGCAGCTACGAGGAGGCACGTGGGGACCAGTGTGATAAGTGTGGCAAACTCATCAATGCTGTGGAGCTGAAGGTGGGACAGGAGCCCTCTGGGGAACACCCCACAACCCTGCCCCTGCTCTGCCTGAGATCCCCCCCTCCAGCCTTGCCCTGGGCTTCCTCCAACCTGTGTTTCTGCTGACAGAACCCACAGTGCAAACTCTGCAGGGGTGTCCCCATAGTGAAGCCCACTCAGCACCTCTTCCTGGACCTCCCCAAGGTGAGCCTCATCCCTGGGGAGTGTAGAGGGGCTGGGGCACCCCTGGTACCACTGCCCACCCCTGTGTGCT